CTCAGCCTTCCAAGTAGCTGGAACTATAGGCGCGCGCTACCACGCCCGGCTAATTTTTTTATTTATTGTAGAGACGAGGGCTCACCAAGTTGCCCAGGCGGGTATCGAACCCGTGGGTTCAGTCAGTATGCTCACCTCAGCCTCCCAAAGGTGCGGGATTACAGGCTGAGCCACCGAGCCCTTCTGGAGCTCATTACTTTCAAGGGAACCCATTTTGTAATTGGGCAGTCATAAAAGAGTGTGACTTTAACATCTGCTTCCTTCCGTGCCAAAGGCTATATATAATTCAGCAGAACACCATTTTAGCACAATAAGATGCAACTATGATGAACAGTTTAAGGTAAATAGACTGTTCTTACCAAAGACAGCTGAGTTATTTTTTTTTTTTTGTAATCAAAATAATTTGTTTCTGGAAAAATCCCAGTAAAAGAAATAATCAAGTTAAATTTATTCCAACCTATCTCTGTGAGTTGATACTGGATTCCTTCATTTCCATGTTTCCTATATTCTGAGAAGCACAGTCTGGTGAATATAGAAAAATGGTAAATACGTGACAGTTGAAAAGAAGAGAATTAGCCCTTCTTATTTTTATCATATTGTATTTTATCTTGCTTCTCAACCTAAGTAAACAATAGAATTTTTTTTTTTTTTTGAGTTGGAGTCTCACTCTGTCGCCCAGACTGGAGTGTAGTGGCTGCTCCCGGCCACCGCAGCCTCGACCTGCTGGGCTCCGGCAATCCTTCCTCCTCAGCCTTCCGAGTAGCCGGAATAACAGGCATGCGCTACCAAGCCCGGCTGATTTTTTGATTTATTGTAGAGATGAGGTCTCGCTGGCCAGGCGGGTCTCGAACCCGCAGGTTCAGGCAATCCACTCACCTCAGCCTCCCAAAGGCACGGGATTACAGGTTGAGCCACCGAGCCCGGCAACAATAGAATTTTTAAAACATATTTTGAATACTTATTTGGTAGCAAGTGACCTGCAGATAAATTGAGTCATATTTATAAAACTCAGGCTTGACAAAGCTCCTATTCACACTAAATAATAGTTTAAAGAAGAGGTCAGCATTTTTTTTTCTTTAAAGATCCAAATAGTAAATATTTTATGAGCCCCACATTCTCCATCACACTGCTCAGCTCTGCAGTCCTAGTGCAAAGCGACATAGATATGTTTAAAAAAATGGACATGGCTGTGTTCTGATAAAACTTTATTTTATTTTATTTTTTGAGTCAGAATTTCACTCTGTCACCAAGGCTGGAGTGCAGTGGCATGCTCACGGCCACTACAACTTTGACTTGCTGGACTCACGAGATCCCTCCGCCTCAGCCTTCCAAGTAGCAAGCACAACCAAACTGGCTGATTTTTTTACTTATTGTGGAGATGAGGTCTCGCTGCTGAGCCCTGCTAAAACTTTATTTTAAAAAACAGACCCTATGATCAGAATTTGGCTTGAGGGTCATATATTGGCAGCCACTGATCTAAGGACTCTAGACAGATAGACTCAAGAAAAAAGAATGCCTTCTTTTTTGTGATACATTGACAAATATACTTCAATGATAAAACATGGTAAATTATCCCTACTTGTGATTATATTTAATATTGATATTTTTATTTATTATGTGTTTCTTTTGAGTACTGATCAAGTCAACCTTAATGTTTTCCCCATCTCGACAACACTTTAGATAGAATTCTTTCCGTCTCTAGGCCCCTGACCTCCCTCTCTCCCTAGTCCTTGCAGATTCCAGTTGGCCTAGGCCCAGAGGCCCTTGACCTCCTTTTCTTTAGAGCATTCACTTTAGAAAACTTGTAACTGTAAATTCTTTATCTGCGCCTTTGAGATGTGTATCTTTCTTTCTAAAAGTCTTTTGCTGAGTCTCTTTCCTGTTGCAATAGTCTTGAATAAAAATTCCCCTGATTAATTAACTTTGTCTTTTGCAATTTTTGCTTGAACTGTACAAAATCTGCACTAGAAGAAACTGTACAAAATTTGCCAGAAGAAAAAAAATTCTTGTGTGACAATCTGATAAATCCTAAAAAAAAAATTACTTACAACATGGATACAATCTCTTAATTTACTATTTGTTGGTATTCATTAGCTGTTGAAAATTATTTTTATACAAAAATACACATGAACCCACTTTATATTAATTATTTTAATATAATTGTAATCTATAAACATGTTTAGAAGAGATAATAGAATGGAACACCTTAGAGGTGAATTTTTTTGTTTGTTTTTGAATTGGAGTCTCATTCCGTCTTCCAGGCTGGAGTGCAGTGTACGCTCACTGCCACCACAGCCTCGTCCAACTGGGTTCAGGTGATCCTTCTGCCTCAGCCTTCCAAGTAGCTGGAACTAGGCATGTGCCACTATATTTTGCATCAAAACATGCTGATGTTTTGATTTATTATAGAGTCGAGTCTCACCAAGTTGCCCAGGCTTGTATCGAACCTCTGGGCTCAGGCAAACTTCTTGTCTCACCTCCCAAAGTGCTGGGATTACAGGTCTGAGCCATTGTGCCCAGCTGAGGTGCATTTGAATTCTAGTCTTGGATTTACAAATTGAAATTTTGAGGGAAGGAATATCTCTCATTACTGCTTTATAAACAATTTTTGATGCATGATAGAAACTCAATACATATTTGTAACTGAATGAATCAGAGGTTGTTTATCAGAATTACATTTATTTTTCAACTTTTTCTAGTGTAACTCTGGATGTGAGAAGTTTTCAGTTGTCAAAAACAAGCAAACTGAAAATTAGAAGTTTAAGAAAGCTGCTATAGGTATCGTGTCACCATTTATCTTGTAAAGTATCTTAGACACATTACATTAATTATTTCTAATAATTTGGGGACGTTTCAGTTCACACTGACATTTGTCTGAAGGGTTGAAATAATAGTCTTCAGAGATAGTTTTGACTATACTTTCAAAATGATTCTTTTGCAGTTCAACTGTAACATGAGCTCTAGCCTATTGTTGGTAAATGACTAACTCAACTAGAAAAAAAGCCCAGTTAGGAATCAACCTACCTTTGAACTTTAACTGGTTGACTGGTGAGTCGGTGTTTTTTCTGTTGTGAAATCCTGTTTCATGGAACAACAACAAAAGTAACCAGAAAATCTACCAACAAACCAACAAAAGACCAAACAAAATATTAAAGTATGCATTTTAAGTTTACCTCAGAATTACTTCCTCTTAATTTTGAAGACACAAAATTGGAAAACTCAGCATCAAGGAAGAAACAATGTCCTGTATGTAGTGATTGTTATGAGTTTGGACAAGAAAATAAATCCTTAATTCTGTGAACTTTTCTGGACACCATTTGATCAAAAACATAAATAAAATTGCAGTTTCTTTGATAGTTAAAGACCCATTAGGTTTAATCAAATTCCCAGGTACCTTCACAGTCTTCTTTTATTAGAGAGTTCTTGGTTTATTTTAAGCACATTCCCAAATCTTTGAAAATAGATTTGGAAAAGAAATAAATAAGGGGAAATGTGTATTAAATCAGAGCCTGGTAGTCCA